GTTTCCTGAGCCCGTAGGCTCAGCCAAAAATATGCCCGTATAACTCGTAAAAACGAGATAGGGTAGGTCATTCACCCGAACGAGATTCTGCCCTTCGGCGGAACTCGTCCGGGTTCCTTTTTGCTCAAAAAGCAGAGAGTTCGACCGTCAAGTCGAAAAGATCGGCTTGATTCAGTATCTAGCCACCCCCCACGAGGGTTGCATGCGACACAAGGTCATTTTTATCGTGGGTTTCCTGAGCCCGTAGGCTCAAAAAAAATATGCCCGTATGACTCGTAAAACGAGATCAGGGTAGGTCATTCACCCCGAACGAGATTCTGCCCTTCGGCGGAACCTCGTCCGGGTTCCTTTCTGCTCAAAAGCAGAGAGTTCGACCGTCAAGTCGAAATGATCGGCTTCATTCAGTATCTAGCCACCCCCACGAGGGTTGCATGTGACACAAGGTCATTTTTATCGTGGGTTTCCTGAGCCCGTAGGCTCAGCCAAAAATATGCCCGTATGACTCGTAAAAAACGAGATAGGGTAGGTCTTTCACCCCGAACGAGATTCTGCCCTTCGGCGGAACCTCGTCCGGGTTCCTTTCTGCTCAAAAGCAGAGAGTTCGACCGTCAAGTCGAAATGATCGGCTTGATTCGGTATCTAGCCCCCCCCGCCACGAGGGTTGCATGCGACACAAGGTCATTTTTATCGTGGGTTTCCTGAGCCCGTAGGCTCAGCCAAAAATATGCCCGTATAACTCGTAAAAACGAGATCGGGGGGGTCATTCACCCCGAACGAGATTCTGCCCTTCGGCGGAACCTCGTCCGGGTTCCTTTCTGCTCAAAAGCAGAGAGTTCGACCATCAAGTCGAAAAGATCGGCTTGATTCAGTATCTAGCCACCCCCCCACGAGGGTTGCATGCGACACAAGGTCATTTTTATCGTGGGTTTCCTGAGCCCGTAGGCTCAGCCAAAAATATGCCCGTATGACTCGTAAAACGAGATCAGGGTAGGTCATTCACCCCGAACGAGATTCTGCCCTTCGGCGGAACCTCGTCCGGGTTCCTTTCTGCTCAAAAGCAGAGAGTTCGACCGTCAAGTCGAAATGATCGGCTTGATTCAGTATCTAGCCACCCCCCACGCGGGTTGCATGTGACACAAGGTCATTTTTATCGTGGGTTTCCTGAGCCCGTAGGCTCAGCCAAAATATGCCCGTATGACTCGTAAAAACGAGATAGGGTAGGTCTTCACCCCGAACGAGATTCTGCCTTCGGCGGAACCTCGTCCGGGTTCCTTTCTGCTCAAAAGCAGAGAGTTCGACCGTCAAGTCGAAATGATCGGCTTGATTCAGTATTCAGCCACCCCCCCACGCGGGTTGCATGTGACACAAGGTCATTTTTATCGTGGGTTTCCTGAGCCCGTAGGCTCAGCCAAAAAAATATGCCCGTATGACTCGTAAAAACGAGATAGGGTAGGTCTTTCACCCCGAACGAGATTCTGCCCTTCGGCGGAACCTCGTCCGGGTTACTTTCTGCTCAAAAGCAGAGAGTTCGACCGTCAAGTCGAAATGATCGGCTTGATTCAGTATCTAGCCACCCCCGCACGAGGGTTGCATGCGACACAAGGTCATTTTTATCGTGGGTTTCCTGAGCCCGTAGGCTCAGCCAAAAATATGCCCGTATAACTCGTAAAAACGAGATCAGGGTAGGTCATTCACCCCGAACGAGATTCTGCCCTTCGGCGGAACCTCGTCCGGGTTCCTTTCTGCTCAAAAGCAGAGAGTTCGACCGTCATGTCGAAATGATCGGCTTGATTCAGTATCTAGCCACCCCCCACGAGGGTTGCATGCGACACAAGGTCATTTTTATCGTGGGGTTTCCTGAGCCCGTAGGCTCAGCCAAAATATGCCCGTATAACTCGTAAAAACGAGATAGGGTAGGTCATTCACCCCGAACGAGATTCTGCCCTTCGGCGGAACCTCGTCCGGGTTCCTTTTTGCTCAAAAGCAGAGAGTTCGACCGTCAAGTCGAAAAGATCGGCTTGATTCAGTATCTAGCCACCCCCACGAGGGTTGCATGCGACACAAGGTCATTTTTATCGTGGGTTTCCTGGAGCCCGTAGGCTCAGCCAAAAATATGCCCGTATAACTCGTAAAAACGAGATAGGGTAGGTCATTCACCCCGAACGAGATTCTGCCTTCGGCGGAACCTCGTCCGGGTTCCTTTTTGCTCAAAAGCAGAGAGTTCGACCGTCAAGTCGAAAAGATCGGCTTGATTCGACCCTCTCTCTTGAGAGGCGTAGTATACATAGTGTTAGGAAGAGTTCATTCTGTAGTTATAGGTAAGGACCCATAACACTATCCCTTGTAGTTCTAAGCAATGTTTGTTCTCTTACTATCCGCCCCACTCACTTTTATGCTATCCATCTACACAAGCTCGTTAAGTAGGTTAGTCAATGTTTCTTTCCTGTAAGTTTCAAATTCTCCAAGTCCTCTTTCCTCATTATCTGTCCTAGAAATTTCAACTGACTCTCTCTGATTCCAGCTACAAGTTTCCTTTTTGTTTCCGTTTTTCTTAAAAACGTCCTCGTTGCTTCCATACGTCGACGAAGGTATTCTAAACCTCTTTCTGTAGAACCCCATCCCTGATGATGAAGTTCTCCTATTCATGTGAGGAAACTGTTCAAGATTCGTTGTCATATGGGAAGATGGATAAAAAGTGTCATACAGTACAATATAGCAGTTCAACACTCTTTTCTTTTCTTTTTTTTTTAGTTTGTTTCAATTTTGGATCTTGTCTTTCGCTATTCCAATCCACCTTCGGATTTCGATGTCACATTTTCCGTTGCCTGTTATGACGCTTCCCAGATAGATTTTTGTACTTACTTGATTCTGACATTTCTAGTTCGTATCTCACATCCCTAGCTGCCCCACTTGCGCAGACCCCCACCCTTAAAAAAAAAAAATGGTTAAAATACGAAGATATTTTATCACCTTTTCTTTTGCCTTTTCTGTTCACTTTTTCAAGGCAACTGTTCTGATGAACGTTCCTCTTTGGTACCTAGACACTATGAATTTAAACGCAGTACTAGATTGGCGGCAAGGTCTCATCATTTTACAGTTGAAATGGTTAGTTGTAACCTTAATTTCTATGCTAACAATTTCTTCTCTCGGACTTCTCGTTTTTGGCTTCTTGCTTCCCAGTCAACTTTGCTCTTCAAAAATTTAAATGCAATATCAATAGTTATTTTTCGTCTTCTTAATTCCCGTTCTTTTATTGTTCTATCTGCTTAATGTTTTCTTTTATTCTCATATTTTCTCACACTCAGTAGCTCCTTTGCTTCTTAGTGGCTCTTTTGTCTTGCTTGGGGTGAAATGATTAAAAAAAAAAAAAGCTTCAAACTTTACCTAGCAAAGTTATGACCTTAGCTTGTTTTCCAAGCTAGCTGAAGTTTGATGTAATAAAAAAAACAAAAAACACCGAAATATATAACTACAAAAACAAATACCCTTTATAAAACTCAATATATATTTATATATCAATATATATATATATATATATGCAATGCGATGAGAACGAAAGTAATATATAAATTCCAATGTTCACAGCATTAATCCAAGAGAGGGCTCGATACCGATAATAGAGGGATAATTATTTATTTATTATAATTTTACTCACTACAAAGATGCAACTTGGTTTCAATGCATTCCAACTGCACTTCGACGGGTGAGAATCCAAAATGGTTATCCATCAAAGCGCAGTTGAAATGCACTGAAACCAAGCTGCATCTTTGTAGTGAGTAAAATGGTTTTGTCTATATGATAAAATTATAATAAAGGAAATATATATATATATATATATATATATATATATATATATATATATATATATATATATTTAGATAGATAGATAGATAGATAATATTAGTAGTAAAATAGACATACATATGCAAAATATATAAATATATAAATATATATACATAGATGCATGCACATACATATATATTTTTGAATAAAAAATTCCAAGAGGATAGAATCCAGGTAGAGCTTTTTATTTCCGAAGTTGTTTTTTCTGTTTTCTTTTTGAATTTGCAGGTCTGATGAATTGGATCGTATTTACGATTCCAATGGAATAAATTATGACCATGGAATATTAGTGTTTAAGCCTTTTTATTATATATATATATATATATATATATATATATATATATATATATATATATATATATATATATATATATATATATTCAAATATATATATATATATATTTATAAATGCCCTTTACTATTTAGCTATTCCTGAGCTCTTTGATATTTTTAAATAATTCCTTTTTAGGTTGAAATTACATATTCAAGTATTAAATAAGGTCGAAAATATTATTGATGTTAGTTTCCAAGCTCCGGCAATAAAGCCACGTTTTTGAATCCTGATTTTCAAATCAGGTCGATAAGAGGTCTTAGTTCCCAACAGACTTTTCTTACCTTCATTTCTTTATTTTATCTTGTGCCATACATTGCAAAGCTTACCAAACCCTGAGAAGGTTATTTTATATATATTCCTGTCCTGTGCAGTTGAAGATTTTCTATTGGTTTGAGTTCTAACCCAGAATAAAGCTAGTATTTTGCTGGTCTTCACGTTAGTTCTTAACCCTCACTCTCTGGAAGCTTGGCGTAATACGTTCTTCTTTTCTTAATTCTCCACACCTGCCAAATTGTGTTTGCACTAAAGCAATATTATTAAATATTAAGTATTTCACGACCACCCGATCTTAAATCCGTCTGATCTACAGTCAGGTGATTCTTGCGGAAGAGAGGCCTCTAAAAGAGGACAAAACATCAAGTTTTCAGGGTCTTTTCATTCCGTTCAGTCTGAAGTAAACGAAATTGTTTTACCAATGAAGCCATGAATATCGCTCACAAAGGAACGAAGACACCAGCCACAATAAACTTGCGAATGTTGATTGTAAACACCACAATCTCCCAATGAATGATTCTGAGAAATGACCAGGTTTTTTTTTCCCCGCTCAAGGACAAACGAAAACCGTTACACATGGAATTGTTTGGTTTTTGTGAAGAATACTCGATCCGAGATTGCAAAGACCTCTTGAAGTATAAAGACGATGATCTGTTTCCCAAAATACCTCCTCAGCGTGTTCCTTGGCCATAATAGATTTCCAGAAAGAAAAACGCCAAGTACAAATACTGGAAGGCGAAGAAAGTTCATAGATTCGAGGCAGCAGCAAAAAGAGGAACAAGAAAGAGAGAAAGAAGAGGGCAACTACCAGGTGAATAAGAAGTGCGCATGTCAGAGTCGCAGAAAGCAGCTGTATTTATTAACGGAGCTCATATATTTACGTCTTCTCTATGCGAGGCATGCCTACGGCGATGCCGCATTAATACTAAAAAAGAAGAACCATGAAGGGATCGTAGATTTTACAAGAATGTGATTGGCTGTTGGTTTGATAGATCTGATCATAAATGGCTTCTTTTTTGTGGGGTATAATTTTTTAAAAACTTATCTCTTTGAGTACGCACGGATTTCTGTATTCGATGTTTTAACGAAGCCAATCGTCTTCTAAATATTTGGCTGAGTTACAAGTTATGTCACGTGAGTGTCTAACGTGTTAAGATGGCATACGATCTTATTTATATATGATCCCATATAAGTATATATGTAATTAAATAATTGAAATAATGTGGATTTAGGCAGCAAGAGTTCTTTCAGACATATTTGGTTGAATAATATCGACAAGTTCTATCTTTCCATTTTTTTTATTAACTTTTTTAAATTTCCGAATTAGTAGTTTTATATAATCGGTAAATTTACCAAAGTTCATTTTTATTTTTTTTTAAATTAATTTTTTTAAAAATACACATAAAAAGTCAAATTGCCTGTTTAAATGGCGTCTCCTTGAGCAGCTTGAAATCGAAGGAAGGCCGGAATTAACCAAAATCAGTTCCATAAACATACACAAAAAAAATCCTTGTAAAGGAATGTAGTAACATTTAAAAGTACTCATGGAAAAAATAAAAATAAAAAAATAAAAAATAAAAATGAACTTAGTAAATTTACCGATTATATAAAACAAAAAATCTGGAAACTTGAAAAAGTTGATAAAAATATTGGATAAACAGAATTTGTCGATATTATTCAACTAAATCCTATCGGAGAACACATTTTCTTTTATTAAGTTTTTTTTCGAAAGCGCAGGCCTGTAGATGAATCAACACTCTTAAAAAACGGAGAGCCATCTCAACTACGGGTATCGACTAAAAGTAACGTTTGATGTAATAAAAAAATAACTTATAGTTATATATATATATATATATATATATATATATATACAGTGCAACCCGGATATAAGAGAGTTGTCGGGACCGGAGAAGAAGTCTCTTATATCCGGGTTTCTCTTATATCCGGGTTTGGTCTATTTTATATACATTAACACAGGTTCTAATTTGGGACCAGAGAAAATCTCTCTCATATCCGGGTTTCTCTTATATCCGGGTCTCTTATATCCGGGTTACACTGTATATATAATGAAATGGACAAAGTCCGACAATTATTGTAAGATATTTTTATGTTTATACATTCTTTTTATAGATACAAGTATTTAAGTAAATGCTCTGTTTATAATAAACAGTATTAAACAACATTTACCGGCCTGAATGTCCGAGAAATTTTCACAGAAAATATTCGTCCTCCGACAGGACTCGAACCTGTATCCTATACGGAACCGTCATATAGCCTGACGTGCCTTTAACCTCTGGCTACAGAGGAGCGTTCGGTTAGCAAGGTCGATTTTACTATCTTTAAACTACAATCTTTCATGATTCTCTCACGTATTGTTCACACCCTTCTCTCCTCTCTGCGAGCTGGATTTGTCTTTGAAGTTAACTTCTTGTAGCTTTTACCTCAAGAGTCAGGATCTACAAGGCAAGAGGTGGCTTGAATTCAGATTTTCGTCTCCTAGACTGTTGGCCATCCAAGGCTATAGGGCACAGACTGTCGTACTATTTTACCCATAGCTGGTGGACCAGAGATGGATTGAGTGAATATAATGAGCTCGAATCGAATTCGAAACCCGAATCACCGATTCCTCAATCCGAGCCGCTAACCATCGTGCCTCTATATTGTATATCGGGATTAAAATCATGAATAAACTGCCCTTTCTTGTTTTGCTCAATCACTTTCAACTATCTCAGTCATTATCAAGTACTGGATGTTATCTGTTAAGCAATATTTTCTGACAAAATCCTGGCCTTTTTACATCGCTGGAATTGGAATCCGTTCAATGTGACGTCATATGTAATGGTTAAACGGAAAAGTGTGTATCGAATATTTTTACCTGTTTTTATTTTTACAAACAGACAGTAAATTTAATGGAAATAGTTTTGTCAACAATGCGAAATGGATGAATAACATCTATAAACACAGGGCCGGTGCAAGGGTCACGTGCCTAAATCTATGAGACATCCCTCCCACTCTACTACATCTCAATATTCATAAGGTTGTATTCACATAAAATACAAATTTTATTATGACCTAATTATACACAATAATAGGTCACATGCAATATGAGTGAACACTTCAATTAGAAAAACTGAAAATAAATACAATGTATTTAAATACAAGTTAGTGATATGTGCTCCTGTACTGGCTCCTGTTCTCTCTAAACTCTACAATAAATGCCTTGATGCTTCTTGCTTTCCTACTTGTTGGAAATCCTTTATAGTAAAAATACCTGCAATCATGGTAAAAAAAATTGCCAGCAATACATTTAGAAAAAAATGCCAGCAATACATGGAGAAAAAATACCAGCAATACATGTAGAAAAAAAAATTGATAACATGAAAATATAAAAATACATTAGAAAAATTACCAGCAATACATTTTCATAGTAAAAAAAAAAAAAGAAAAAAAAGAAAAGAAAAATTCCATTATTCGGACTGTTGTCCTCATCTTGATTGCCATATTCACGACGTTTCGGTCGTTGTACGCTTTAGCCGTCTTTAGGTGTTTGGAATTTCGAACTGAACCCTTTATTTCGTTCACCAAGGTAGATTGTTCTAGTTCCACGTGCCGTGCCTCTTCCGGATGTCTCAGTTATCTCCCTTTAACTCAACTCTCGAAGTATTTTTTGCTGTTCACCACTTCCTTTTGCAAAAATGCCCTTGAAGAAGGCATGAACCCATTTCTTCTCTCTACTCCCTTGGCCATGGATTAAATAACGGTGTAGGAGAAGTACAACTTTGAATTCAAAACGGTGGCTAAAACAACAAGAACCATTTTATTCCCAAAAGTCATGGCGGTTTATAGTTTATAAAGAAAAAAGAATATGTGGAATATAGCAGGGTGATTTTTCGCTTTCTTTAGAATGTCAACATTGCACTCAGTGTTAATGCTGGGGTTTGATGTTGATAAATATTGCTACTAAAAATTAGATACATAATTTTTACCAATTTTTGAGAATTTAGTTTTAAATATCGTCTGAAAATTTACAGAAATACTTAATTTCTGCAGGTTTTTCTTACAAACTGACTACAAAATTTTACTATTTCTAGAATAAATCCAAATAAAGTTGATATCTTTTGTTTAGATACATTGAATGGAAAATATATTCATCGCAAAATTTTAATTATGAATCACCACAAGCAAACATATATAATTTTTTTAATGTATTCGATAAATAAAAACTGTAAAAAAAGAAAAATCCTAAAAGATTACAAAGAAAAGGTTACTCAATGAATAAGATATGTTAGGTCATTTGTTAGATCATAATTAATAAAAACAAAAAATAGATAAGATTGGGCGAAAATTATAAGACAAAATGTTTTAAATTTGCATTGTTTATTGAAAATCACACTAAAATTACTGCACTGTATAACGTATTAAATCATAATATAACTAAATTGTTCAGTGTAATTTCCCTTTGAAGTAAATAAAGGCCTTATTTGATGCCATAATGATTTGATAATAATGTGCTTGTGACATGCATCTTGCCTATATACAATTTTTAAAGCTTCAGTAAATTATAAATTTTATAAGACTGTAATATAAGGCTTTCACTGATCATAGGAATGAAATTCCAACACTACAATTTTGAACCGAAAATTAATCTTTAAAGTCGTTTCCTCAGAAAAGATTTGGGAAAAATATGTTGTGTCCATATTTACCAGGTCAAACCCCAACATTTAAACTGAGGGCTATACCGCTGTTTCAAAATCGACCTTTCCTCATGTGGAGAGCCATGATCGTTAACTTTTCTGAAGGGACATAGCATAAAATATGTAAAAATACCATATCACCCATAAATAAGTGTATATTTACAACTTCTTTTTTAAATAAAACATTAATTTTCTACAAATCCAAACATAGAATGAATTCATTATTTCTAGTGGCATATTGGATAGTGTTACGGCCATATCACGTTGAAACATGGGTTCTCATTGATCACCGAAGTCAAGCAACGTGGTGATCGCCGGGGAAATACCAGGTGCCAAAGCTACGCGACGGTCGGCGATGGAGAGAGTCTCGCTACTTACACTAACAGAAGACCTCGCTATGTGGAGGGGTTTCTGGTCGCAAGACCTACTTGGATTTAGTTGAGAAAGGTGAGATATTGGACAGTCAAAATAGATATTATCAGATACTATTCATCACGAAACTGAACAGCATTGTAAAAAAAAAAAAAAGAACATGTTGCCAAAAAAAAAAAAAAAATGAGAAGCTAAAACATTGGCGTCCATAACAGTACACTCCAAGAAAATGAATTTGTTTAAAAAATCAGTATTTGTTGCAACTGCCTTATTTTTAGTGATCTCGTCTATTTCGTGACAATTCGAGATTCGTGTGAATCACAAGGAGTCGATATCTCAATCGTTGAATCATGAAGTGAGAACAAAGCTCGTCCTACTGGACAAACTTAAGCCCAACGAATCGGAGCGAAAAGGAACTATGCGGAGATGACCCTAAGTCATACTGGATTAACGTATGTTCACCAAATTAGAGCTAAAAGAAACTACGCGGAGATGATGCTAAGGCCTTCTAGATTATGTTTACCATACCAAGTTGGAGCGAAGAGAAGCCATCGTGCATACTGGAATAACTTAACGCCCGCCGAGTAGGAGCGAAGAGAAACCACGCGGTGACGACGCTAAGGCATAATGGACTAACGTTATGTCCACCTAGTTAGAGCGAAGAAAAAGCACGCGGAGATGATACTAAGGCATACTAGACTAAATTACGTTCACTTAGCTGGAGCGAAGGAAAACCACGCGGAGACGAAACTAAGGCATACTGGACTAAATTACGTCCACCTAGTTGAAACAACGCGGAGACGACATTAAAGCATACTGGACTACGTTAAGTCTATCCAGTTGGAGCGAAGACAAACCACGGAAAGGCGACCAAAAGGTATACTGGACTACCTTACGTCCACCAAGTTGGAACAAAGAGAAACCAGGCGGTGACGACGCTAAACCGTATTGGACTATCTTACTTCCACCTAGTTGGAGCGAAGAGAAAGCACGCAGCGACGACATTAAGGCATACTAGACTACATTAGTTGGAACGAAGAGAAACGATGCGGAGACGACGCTGAGGTATACTGAACAATCTTTCATCCTCCGAGATTGGTGCGAAGAGAAACCATGCTAAGACGACGCTAAGGCATACTGGACTAAATTATTCCACCTAGTTGGAGGAAGAAGAATCTACGCGGTAACGACGCTAAGGCATACCGTACTACCTTGCGCCCACCTAGTTGGAGCAAAGAGAAACCACGCATAGACGACGCCATGGCATACTGGCCTACCTTACGTCCATCTAGTTGGAGCAAAGAGAAACCGCGCATAGACGACGCCATGACATACTGGCCTACCTTACATCCATCTAGTTGGAGCAAAGAGAAACCACGCATAGACGACGCCATGGCATACTGGCCTACCTTACGTCCATCTAGTTGTAACGAAGAGAAACCACGCAGATATGACGCTGTGTTGAGGGTAATAGAAACAATACGGAGACGACGCTAAGGCGTAGTAGACTAATTTACACCCACCTAGTTGGAGCGAAGATAAACCATGCGGAGACGACGTTAATGCGTACTGGACAATCCTACGCTAACTAAGTTGGAACATTGCAATTGCTTCACAGTAAATAAAATGTACGGTTATAGGTCACGTCCCTTGACAATATCACCGAATACATTACAACACTATTACTGATTCCTGTGTTTATGATATTGGCATCAATAGATTTGTTGGGATTATGCTTTCTTTGAAATCTATCATGTTGGATGGTCGTGTTTTTTTTTTTCTACTCTTCGTTCCATTACATATCCCAAGTGGTCAATTGATCTCTTGTATCTTTTGTTTATTCAAAAACTCTGTCGTTTTCAGCCGAGTGTTTTGGATTATTATGTTGATTCACAGTTCCTCTTCCCGAGTATCTGTCTGAAGGGATAACAGAACTAATTTCAACCCGAGGGTAAGCCTCGCGCTCAGTTTCTAATAAAAATTTCCCGAATAGTTTCATGTAGGTGTAAATTTACATGCTTAATTCGAAAATAACAAAGAAATTTTCATAAAATCTACCGTTTTGGAGTTATCGACAATAAAATTTCGGACTCATTCGCGTCGCGGTGGCTGAAGTTGAAATTAATTCTGCACGTCGTTTGAGGGCAACATTTTTTCCTCAATATTTTGTAGTAACTTTTGCACTTCAACAGTTCAACAGTGCTAACGAAGGTCATTCGACTCCAGAATTAACTACTAATACCATTTTTTTTTAAAATTTTTGCTTCAACTGACTACAGTATACTGACCCAAAAAATTGTTATTCACACGCTCAAATCTTAAACGGTTCTCTTTGTGCCTCGATTTAAATTGTAGCTTCCTACGCGATTCGTCGGCCATGTGAACTGGTTTTATTCAGGGTTCATTTTATTGTTGTGATTAAACCATTCACAGCACATATTTTCTTTGACTTTATTGACAACATACGCGGCTGGTTTTCTCGGCTTTTCGTCAACCGATTTGCTGCTAAAACGGATAGATCTTTTTTTCAGTTTGCATTGTCGGCCTAGTCACTTCTATACATCACCGAGTCAATATTTTTTGGCTCATTTTTCAATCTATTTTTGCAGCTGTGTTTCTTTTTGACCGCTGAAGCACCGATCCCCTTACGCTCACCGAAGTTAAGCAACATCGAGCTTGGTGTGGTTTGGTATGCTTTGTTTAATGGCATATAAACTCCTTATGGGTGATTTAATGTGGAAATTTAATTTCCTTGCGAGTTTTCTTTTTACTATCAAAATCTATTGCTGGCAATGTTTACTATAAAATGTATTTTTATATTTTCATAATATTTTGCTTTTGTTTAGGGGTTCACTATTTGCCCGTAACTGGGATCCTAACAGATGCTACCACCCCGGATTTAGGTGGACCTGGGAACAACAACAATTAAGAGGTGGTTCCACGCTCCTCAAAACCTCCTTGCTGTCGGGGGTAGTTTATACCTAGGACATCGAGACTGGTCAGTACCTAGACGGGTGACCGCTTGGGAATACCAGGTGCTGTAAGCTAAGATGTGCACACGGTGTCATGTATAATGGCTCCGCAATTCCAAATAACAAAAAGTCAAAATTTATTAAGCCCTAAAACGTTGGGTTGATTATATTCACTTACGCACAAATACCACTGGGAAAGTTATGAATGCATCTCTTCTTTCCCCAGCTATGGGTTAATTAGTAAGACTTGTATCACTAAAACATTATTATCTCCCCAGCCCCAACAAAAATTCTTAAAATCTAAATTTTTTTTCTGTTTTTAAATAACTTGCAAAAGGTTGATATGCTGTAGAAAATGAATGAATGAATCATCTTTATTTTGGAGAAAAAATGACTAGTTTCCTTTCAGTCGGAAATGTATATACGCTAACACACACAAGTATATATATATATATATATATATATATATAGTGATAGGTGATATATATAAATATATATATATATATATATATATATATATATATATATATATATATATATATATATATATATATATATATATATATATATATATATATATATATATATATATATATATATATATATAGTTATAGGGATAGGTGAATCAAACGACCAGATATAAGCAAGCGTATACGGGCTTGCTTTGGTGTACATACGCGGGCAAGTAGATAAATAATCAGCAAATTTATACATGAGGTGTAAACATAATAGTGCTCAATGTGGTTAGACAGATCAAAGATATATATTAATTAGTACATATACTTGTACCTACGTTTTGGTGTGCGACTTAAGTTTCGCTGCATTACCAGCTCGTCGGTCACAAAAACTTTCTTCCTGACGAGCTGTAATTCAGCGAAACTTAATTCGCACACCAGAACCTAGGTACAAGTATATGTAGTAACACACACACACACACACACACACACACACACACACACACACACACACACATATATATATATATATATATATATATATATATGTGAGAGGGAGAGGGAGAGAGGGTTACTGTTACTGGTACCATGCACCCCAATACTACCTGCCAATGGCGGTTAAAACGGTTTTTCCCACCTGGATTTTCAGACACCAGCAGAATTAAAAGCAATACCTCTCAAATGGCTGTTGAATTTTCTTGCTGGGTCAACAACCATCCAGCACAATACCAGGGAATTAGGAGCTATGATAACATGCCGTCGCTGGGTAGACCGAACTCAACGGACAGGGCAGAAGATTCCCTCGATGGACTCAATGACCACGTGTCCATGACCAAGGCGAGCTTTCAAATTTGAGGACATTGGCAGTGGTTTGACCTGGGGAGGTGAGAGGCTCTGCCATGTCACCTTGCATCACATTACATTTGGATGAATACCACTCTGACTTCCAACCCAGATATTTGAAATGAACTGATCATCGACCACAGCAGGTCATAAGACTGATGATGAGGATTTTTTAGCCCGATACAGGGTTATAGTAATGGAGCATCCAGTAGGTATCGATCTCATTGCAGTAGAATTGTTCTGGAGGAGCAAATTGCTCTATGATTGGCGCCCCAGAATTTCTCTTTCCTTGATTATGTCCGTCCTCCGTGTCACCTGATTTTCAACTGAAGAGTCCTGAATTTTCTCTGTCTACCTACGCAACTTGACAGCGCGATTTGTTATTCTTTTAACAACTTGAAAGAAAGTAAGAAAAAAACGAAAAACAAAAGAGAAAAACCCAGTTTAAAATGAGAGCAATTACAAAAAGTAAAATAGCACGTAAGTGAATGTCGAATCCATTATATTCACTTACGTGCTAATACTTTTGAGAAAGGTACGAATCCGCTTCTTCTCCCCCTCTAGCTGTGGGTAAATAGCAGGACAGACTGGGTTCTATAGCCTTGGATGGCAACTGGTCTACCACAGAAAGAAATGGCAACCTACTGTGGGAAAAATCTGCCTCGTCAGTCATGTATCACGCATGGCGCATAACTGACTGAATAATAATAATGAATGAGAATTCACTGAAGGAAGTGTCCAGTTTTAAATACTTGGGAGCAATCTTGTCTAAAGATGGTACCTGCAACTCGGAAATCCGCACATGGATTGCCACAGCCATAGCAGCAATGGCCAAATTGGCAAGAATATGGAGGAGCAAGATCAGCTTTTAAACAAAATACAGACTGTACAAATCGCTGGTAGTCTCCATTCTGCTATATGGATGTGAAATGGCAGACACTGTTGGCAGAAACAGAGAAGAATACATGCGTTTGAGAAAAAATGCATGAGAAAACTCTTTGACATATAAGTTTGTGCGGAAAAGCGCTGAAAGTTTTGTAGATCACCAGGAACCTCTTCTCGTCATTGTCAAACGGAGAAAAATGGCGTGGTTTGGACACATTACAAGGCACGAAAGCCCGTGCAAGACTATCATGCAAGGCACCGTTGAAGGTGGACATAGGTGAGTACGCCAACGCAAAAACTGGTTGGACAATGTCAAACAATGGACAAGTATGACTATACCAGAATTGCTGATGGCTGCCGTTGATGGACCGTTGGGGAAAAGAATTAGTGTGGCTTCTGCATTCGGAAGCGCCCTACGATTACAAAAGTCATGATGATGATGATGATGAATAATAGCAACAATGCTGATGATGATGGTGATGATGATGATGATGATTTAAAAATAGTCACGTCGAATTTATGTCCCGAGAAAGAAGGTGCGCAAATGAAACACCGGTGCCAGGTCCAAAAACTGACTGACCTCCATCGGCATCGGTATGACTACTACTTTGATATCAGCTTGATGGCCAAGGAATGAAGACTGAAGAAAGGCGTAACTCAAGAAGCACTGGCTGCTCGGTTAATGAATGTCGATTGTTTCCATATAAGGAAACGGCTAATATTACATTTCCCTTTGGCAGCAGGCTCGGAAAAATTATCAAAGAAATGATGTTTAATCGTATAAAAAGGAAATGTATTATACACAGGATTTATATAGGCACAATAGATAAAGAATAAGGAAGTTTAACGATCGTGTGGACAGAAAATTGTGCGAACAAAACTAACTTAACTCGACGTGTGTAACTTGACAATATCAATTGTATCTCGCACATCCTGTCAACCTTTAACGTCTCCTGAGCCACTTCTGCAGCTAAAAACATCTGGTTATGAAATACCACTTTAATAAATGTACTTTAATTTATGCTCAATCGTTAAGAGCTTTACTCTCGCCATTACATATTGGTTATCTTATATATTCGCATCCTTATTTTTATCAATCTTGGATGCTAAAAAGAATTTTTTTATAGTAAGCTTCACCTAGTACAAGGCCCGGGGGCCACTCAAGGTAGAGGGTTACATTAATTTACGCGGATAGGAAGATAATTGTTAACCCTAGATTTGAACAGGTTAAGATTGTAGTGATCGGAGAAACATTCACTTGGGAGTCGGTTCCAAAAGTAAAAGGTAAGAAGCACAGTTTATAAGGATATGTGGGAGATAAAAGTTCCTAGACTTGAACAGGTTAAGAAGTAGTGATCGGGGAAGCATCCTCCTGGGAGTCGGTTCAAAAAGTAAGAGGTAAGAAGCACAGTTTATAAGGATATGTGGGGAGATAAAAGTTAACCCTAGACTTGAACAGGTTAAGATTGTAGTGATCGGGGAAGCATCCTCCTGGGAGTCGGTTCCACAAAGTAAGAGGTAAGAAGCACAGTTTATGAGGATATGTGGGGAAGATAACGGTTAACCCTAGACTTGAACAGGTTAAGATTGTAGTGATCGGAAAAGCATCCTCTTGGGAGTCGGTTCCACAAAGTAAGAGGTAAGAAACACAGTTTATGAGGATATGTAGGGAAGATAACGGTTAACCCTAGACTTGAACAGGTTAAGATTGCAGTGATCGGGGAAGCATCCTCTTGGGAGTCGGTTCCACAAAGTAAGAGGTAAGAAACACAGTTTATGAGGATATGTAGGGAAGATAACAGTTAACCCTAGACTTGAACAGGTTAATATTGTAGTGATCGGGAAAGCATCCACCTGGGAGTCGGTTCCACAAAGTAAGAGGTAAGAAGCACAGTTTATTAGCATATGTGGGGAAGATAACGGTTAACCCTAGACTTGAACAGGTTAAGATTGTAGTGATTGGGGAAGCACCTCTTGGGAGTCGGTTACACGGGGCACTGGTTCGCGAGAAGAAGCTGTTCGAGTGGAACTTACTTTTCACTGATTGAATACGGAGGGAATGTGGATGGTTTGCTACAATGTGAATGGCATGGCGGGTCCTAGCTGTGAAGATTAGAACTGGCGAAACCAAGTTCGTCCAAACACGTTCCATAGAGGTAGCGTTAGAGGCTCACCACATCCCGCCTGAGAGAGAGAGAGAGAGAGAGAGAGAGAGAGAGAGAGAGAGAGAGAGAGAGAGAGAGGTGGTGGTGGAAAATAATTTGTCACAAGGACTCGGAGACGCCTTTGGACTCTATCGTGACTGGAAAGTGAGAACTGGTTGTACCTGGAGGGATAATTTTTTATGTCTTTCTAGAAAGCCTGTTTGATTAAATGCGTCTATGAACAGATCTTTTGAAGCATTGAAAATCAAATGAAGCGTTGAGGGTCTGATGAAGTATTGACGGTCAAATGAACCTTTGAAGGTCAAATGAAGGTTTGAAGGTCAAATTAAGCTTTGAAGGTCAAATGAAGTATTGAAGGCCACAGGAAGTTTTGAAGGTCAAATGAAGCTTTGAAGGTCAAATGGACTTCTGAAACTCTCAAGACATTTAGATCTTTTGAAGCATTGAAAATCAAATGAAGCGTTGAGGGTCTGATGAAGAATTGACGGTCAAATGGAGCTTTGAAGGTCAAATGAAGTGTTGAAGGCCAAATGAAGTGTTAAAGGCCAAAAGAAGCTTTGAAGGTCAAATTAAGCTTTGAAGGTCAAATTAAGCTTTGGAGGTCAAATGAAGTATTGAAGGCCACAAGAAGTTTTGATGGTCAAATGAAGGTCAAATGAAGCTTTGAAGGTCAAACGGACTTGTGAAACTCTCAAGACATTCTAAATGTCTTGAAAATTTCACAAGTTGGACTTAAAAAGAAAGCAGAAGGCATTCTAATGACGTAGATAAATCTATTGATTTAAAAAAATCGAACAGGAACTTTGACAAACGGAAGATTTACCAAACGTATTCATAGACGATTGTAGGCATGGTGGAGTAATGGATAGCGGCTCGGATTGAGGAATCGTAGAGCCTAGTTCGAATTCCAGTCGAGTTCATTACGTTCACTTGTGTTAATAATGGGGAAAGGTAGGAATCCAACTCTTCTGGCCTGAAGAAACTCGGTGGAATAATGGTTAGCGTTTCGGTTTGAGGAATCGGAGAGCCGTGTTCGAATTTCTGTCGAGTTCATTACGTTACTTGTGTTAATCCCCTTGGGAAAGGTAGGAATCCATCACTTTTCACCATGGGTAAAATAGCAGGATTAGCTGGGCTAAAATAGTAGGATATTTCCTTGGTTGGAAATCAGTCTAGGAGAAGGAAAATTATGAATTGAAACCACCTGGTGCCTTGTAGGCCCTCTTTAAATCCTGAGAGGAGAGGCGGGGTAATCTCAACATCTCTTGTACAAAAGGAATCAACAGACCATTGCACCAGTCTGTCTTGAATGTCACTATGAACCACAATTGTGAAATGAAGGGATAACTACAAAAATGCGCTATTTGAATAAATGATGATTATTATTTGATGCTTGGTAGAAAAATAGGGTGTTCCAGTGGAAACCGAGCGTGTTATAAATGAGCATTACTCATAATAAGAACGAGACGATATATCCCTAGATACATGGGCGGTGGAATGAGAACAGTCTAACCCTGTGGACTAAATAAAGGTTTAATTTCGGAATTCCCTCTTGGTTAGCCGAATCGATATACACCTGATCAAGGCCGGAGGGCAAAAACGACCAAAACGTTGTTCTAATAACTGCATAGATGAGGAAAAATAGCCCTAGTGTAAATCAGAAGACATTTATTATTTTTTTGTTTGGGGGGTTGCAAATTGGAGAATCTGAATTCAAAATCACCTCCTGCCTCTTAGGTCCTACATCTTTAACTTCTGACGGGGTGACCTCAACAGCTCCGGTGCAAAAGGAACTGGCAACCCATTGCACTATTCTGCCTTAAATGTTTGTGAGACGATGGGGTGACCCCATGCAAGGTAGTAAAGCCACTAAGACACAAGGTGTTGCAGGGTGTGGGAGAATTAAGAACATAAACATTAATAATGTCCAGGAAGAGAAAAAGTAATGAGGAAGACAGTAGATAGCGATTGACATTGCATTTAAATTTTTGCAGATTAAAGTTTGCTCAAAGGCTTGGAGCCGGAAGGGAGTCTCCACAATCGATTTTCTTCCTATCTTCGACATATATTTATATTTTGATTGTGTTTGGTCGACATGTTTTGTTAAAAAGACAAAGAATGTTTAGTATCCTCGTCGAAATAACTAACAGAGAGAATACAAGAGAATGCTAGAAATCTTGATTGCCCATTTGCTGAAACAAGATGAACACACACACGCGCACACACACACACACACACACACACACACACACACACACACATATATATATATATATATATATATATATATATATATATATGATCACACATACATTCCCACTTAGCCGAATCCTTATACACCTGATCAAGGCCAGAGGGCAAAAACGACGAAAACGTTGTTCTGGCAACTGCATAGATGAAGAAAAATAACCCTAGAGTAAATAAAAGGCCATTTATTTTTTGGGTGTGTGTGTGGGGGGGGGGCGTTAATGGGGGAATCTGAATTCAAACCACCTCCCTGCCTCTTAATATCTTTAACTTCTGACGGGGTGACCTCAACAGCTAAGTGCAAAAGGAACTGGCAACCCATTGCACTATTCTGCCTTAAATGCCACCATGAACCACAATTGTGAGGCGATGGAGAGTAGTGATCAGTAGTGACCCCATGCAATATAGCAAAGCCACTAAGACACAAGGTGTTACAGGGTGTGGGAGAATCAAGAACATGAAAATTAATAATGTCCGGGAAGAGAAAAGAGTAATGAGGAAGACAGTAGATAGCGATTGACATTGCATTTAAATTTTTGCAGATTGGAGTTGAAGTTGGGTGGAAAGCATGAAGCCGGAAGGGAGTTCCACAAGTGAGAAGTGCGAGAGAAGAAACTGTTAGCATAGAACTTACGGCTATATCTAGTCACCTCAACTGTAAATTGATGAGATCTAGACGCCATTCTATTGCTGCGCTTAAGTTCAAAATGTCTAGGAAGTAAATCCAGACAGAAAAACCGGAGTGGACATCCGAAATCGGTTGACTGCCAGCATTGACAGGTCCTGCATCCAAAATGTAATGCCCTTTATTCCTTTGGATCGTGTCGGTAGGGCCTAGGGGGTGTATACAGTCTGGGCAGAGGACAGTCTGCATATACCATCGCCAGTCTAAGAGAAGGTTAACTGAATCCAATCCACCTGCTGCCTTGTAAGTCTTGCCTCTAACTTCTAAGAAGAGGGCCGGTGTAACCGCAAGATCTCCGGTGCAAAAGAAACAGGGAAGCCATTGTACTATTCTGCCTTGCATGCCACTATACATCACAATGAAACGTTGTGATAACAACAGCAAAAATGATGACAATAGTCCGAATATAAATTGCGTAAATAAAAGGACATTTTTTTAATGCCTCCGAGATTATCAAAACCGCTCCGTTTATTAATTTGGCAATTTTTCGCGCAGATATCAAACACGAAACAGTAATTATTGATGATTCAAGTCCTTACACACTTTTTTTTTTAATCAAAAGCGAACCCGTTTCTGACATTCTGTTTGAATAAGTTGATAAACAAGTTGTTATATTTATTTAGGTTGGACAGTAACCTCGTTCCCAGGATTTCCTGCACTCTCTGATAAGATGATGGTCCGCGAATATTCAGGGTGCGGCAGACATACCTCCCACACATACGTCACAGAAATACCTCACACATAATGGTAAAAAACATTAGCTTGATGAAGACACTATTGTTACTGATGTCTTACCATTATGTGGGAGGTATATCTGTCGCAACCTGTCCTTTCAATTTTTATGGGTGTTATGCGAGTCAATATTTAATTTATCCAGGCTTTTTCGTTTACTAATTAGGTTGTGCCAAAGCTTCTTCACACGGGAAAAAATTATTTCACCTCAAGCAAGACAATAAATTAACTAAGAGGCAAGGGATTGCTAGGAGCGAAAGACACAGAACAATAAAAGAAAAAGATTCAAGAAGACAGAAGATGGTGACTGACATTGCATTTAAATTTTTGAAGATCATAGGTAAAAGGATAGGAAGAAGCCAGAAGAAAGTTCCACATGCGAGAAGTGCGAAAGAAGCAATTAGCATAGAACTTAAAGTTTGCTAATATCAGAAAATGCAAGAATTCCTGGTGACTAAGTTGGGTGTTGCAGTCGTGGTTATGAATTCTTTCTTTACTTAAATTGTAAATTTTTGGCCCTTAAAATGATTTTTCCGTCTCCCCCTATTATGATCTCCACCATTTCCTGCATATTTAGAAACATTCTACACCCCCACCCGAAAGTTTTTTGTAATCATTTCACCCATTTCTGGGTGTGAAAGAACACCTCACCGAGTGTTAAGGCCTTAAGAAGTCCTTAATAAACGGTTAGATTTTGGCAAAAGCACACTTTGCTATAAGTTTCAATACCAAATTTCGGTCTCCACATCCTGCATCTGTGCTCCCCCCCAAAAAAAAAAAAAAAAAAAAAAAACCTCAATCCAGTCCTTATTTTCTTGAGCGTCAATCAGCTCCCTATCAAGTTGCTTAACATATTATCGATCTCTGATGTCTGAAGTATCGTCATATTTTATCGATCTTTGTCGGTACTATTGTAATCCTGATTACAAACCTGGCCTCAGGGGCGCAGCTGAGAAATTCACAATTACTTCAGCCACGACGCAGTTATTAGTCACCACAGAGATAATTCCCTGTCCGTGATTAGCATGGTTGATGCTAGACTCCAGGAGAGTGTCTCACTGCGCCGCCTTGGCCGAACACTTTCGAATGACTTGAAGCGGAACAGTTACATTGAATCAATAGCTGCATCTGATGCCATATCTGGTCTACTGCCTCATCTGTTCTCGACAAGATCCAGAAAGAATCTGCAATGTAAGCTAACTTGTCATCTCGACTTCAGTCACTTCCTTACAGACGTCATATAGTTTCCCTCTGTCTTTTCTCTTAATATTTTCATGGCAGTTGTTCTATTGAGCTTTTTCCCTGGTACCTTGATTACATAAATTGAAACGTGCTACTAGACTAGTATCTAGATCCCACCCTTTTACCGCTGAAATAGTTAAATGTAACCGCCACTTCTATTCCAGCAGCTTCTTTTCTTGCACTTCCTCCCTGCAGAACTCCC